TAGAATATTAGGTGAAGATATGTTACCATTCACTTATGCTGTGAAGGATTTGTTTAATGATGCAAAGATATGTTGCATTCTTTTATGTTGCCTTTGTTTAACTCTGTGAAGCTGTGTTACTTTGCCTTTCTAAACTACCTGATTGGTCTAGTAAAGCTAATGAACGGCCAATAGGTAGGCAGGAGAAAGGATAGGTGGGACTGTCAGACAGAGAGAATAAAGAGGAGGAAAAATCCTGGAAGAGAGAGAAAAGAAGGAGAGAGGATGTCAGGAACAAGCCAACCAGCTACACAGCAAGCCATGGCGTAAGAAGTAAAGAAAGGTATATAGAATGTAGAGAGATAAAGGCCCAGAGGCAAAAGGTAGATGGATAATTTAAGAAAAGCTGGCTAGAAACAAGCCAAGCTAAGGCAGGGCATTTATAAGTAATAGTAAGATTCTGTGTATTTATTCGGGACCAAGGTACAGGGCCCCCAAAAGATTCAAAGAGTAAAAAAAAAAAAAAAAAGCCAACAACACTGTAGGGCTTCAAACCCAAAATCCTTTAAGCTTATCACTTCACGGAAGAATTTTGCCAATCTGTTTTCCAGTTTAAATCCCCTAATGATATAAATCTATCTCATGTAACATTTGTTTATCTCTAGCTCTTGCACAGTGGGTGAAATGAAGAATCTTAGTAAGTTTGTAAAGTGAAGGAGTTATGGTCAAAAAAGAGTAGAAGCACGATTCCAGGCTTAGGCTATAACCAAAATTAACTTTGAGGACATAAGTCTTAAAGGATAGTATCTTTTGGTATTGGATGAAATCACAGCAGGGCAAAAAGACCAGGAGACATGTTTGTTTGAGAGGGGATAATCAGGAGGAAGGACAACCTCCTGGCCATAACCAGAGTTGTAACTCTTCCTACAGAAACAGCAGAGGCAATTGTACCAAGAGTGGGACTTTGAACTGGTACCCAATCCTATGACTGTTTTTGTGTCTATGACTCAGGGAGCGTCATGGAAGAGGGTCAGAAAGAGTGTTAAGAGCCAGAATACCAGGAGCTCCACTATGAAACAGTCTGTCCTAGAAATAGCTGAATTATCAAGACCTGACCAACTGTAATATTTATGAACATGTCAGTGTGAAATGGAAAATTACATAAGGTCTCGTCCCTAGACAAAGAATTTCAGGCAACAAATGACCACTTGGAAAAGGAGAATTGGCCTCTCCCGGGGATGAGCCCCCCTATTGCTTGTCCAGTGCAGAGTGGTCAGCCCTGAAACTGCATACACACAAACAACAAAAGCAAACTCATCAGGTTGTGTGTGTGTGTGTGTGTGTGTGTGTGTGTGTGTGTGTGTGTGTGTGTGTGTAGTAATAATAATCAACTAGAGAGTTGAGGGTACGGGATGAGTTCGAGAGGGGGTGCTGAGAAGGACTGGAGGGAGGAAAGTGATGTCATTCTATGTCGATTAAAAGCATATTTTTTAAAAAAGAAAATATTTTAAAGGAGTTAGTTTGTTGTCTTCAACAAGATCAATACAAAGACCGAAAGAAAAGAAGGACGACAAAACACAGCTGACCCTTGTGGAGAGCCCCGGGAGTAGTGTGTACCACTCAGGCCATCAGCCAAGCCCAGCCCTAGAACCTCATTCTATGCACACGAGGCTGGGGAAGGCTGTTCGTTTGCATGCCTGGAGACACTGTGTGACTAGCTCTTTTTGGTGGTGCATGGTACAACCTTAGTACAGTTACAGATAGTTATGTAATAATAATAAGGAAATTTCATTTTTTTAAAAAAAATATTACCTGTTGGGAATTTAATTGCTGAGGATTGAGCTCCCTCTCAATGCTCTGTTCTATACCAGTGGTTCTCAACCTGTGGGTCACAGTCCCTTTAGGGTCACACGTCAGATATCCTACATATCAGATACTTACATTATGATTCATAACAGTAGCAAAATTACAGTCATGAAATAATTTTATGGTTAAGGGTCACCATGACACGAGGAACTATATTAGAGGGTCGCAGCATTAGGAAGGTTGAAAACCACTGCTCTATGGAATTTTCCATCATCCTGCTTCCCCAGCACAGCTGGGATTACAATCTACGTGGTTGTGCTCGGCTTTGAATTTCATGAGTTTTAGTTTTAGTTTTGTTTGTTTAAGACCAGGTTGTTTTTGTTTTTGTTTGTGTATAGGCCAGGTTGGCCTTAAACTTGCTATGTAACAGAGGATAGCCATGAACTCCAGAGCCTCCTGCTTCAGCCTCCCAAGTGCTGGGATTACAGCTGTGTGCTATCATGTCGTGCAGAATCAAATGCGGAATCAAAATATTTAAACTTACTTTCTTAAAATGTGTTTTTATAGTTCTTCTAGGAAACATATGAGAAAAATGAAGTCTTGTCATGTTGGTTTTATATTTTTCCCTGATGATGGTCAGATAGAAGTACATACAAACACGGAAGTGCGGGACTCCAAACTACTGTCCTCAACCAGCAAGGCACTTAACATTTCACCTGCGAGAAACCTTTTTTTTTTTTTTTTTTTCAGGAATCAAAGTTGGGCTGTTTATTAGGTTCGTACTGGTTTGGGTTTTGTTTTGTTGCTGCTATTGAAGTGCTGGGGACTGAACCCAGGACATAAGACATTCCAAGTAAGCGCTCTGTCGCTGTGCCATATTCCTACCTCCGTCGACTGTTTTCATCAGCAAAAAGGACAGAATAGTGCATGGCCCTTCTGCCTTCAGCACTATCGGGCTCTGATGAGATATAAAGTGGAAGTATCTTACGAACATCTGCTATTCAGATGGACGGGATTGAGTTCTCAGCCTCAGAGTCCTGCGTTCCCAATGTGCTAAGGCTCATGAAAGCCATAGACACGGGGAAGGTCTGAGGGAATCTTTATAGCATTTGTGTCACTTTACAGACACCGAAATTAATCTCTGACGTCTTGCTGCTGGTCAGATCTTGAGGAGTATTGTTCAGGTTCCAGGGGTCCCTGGTGGAGGAGAGCTGGGCTTGCAATGCCATAGTTACCAGGAAAGGTGTTAAAAACATAAAACTCTGCGATCCAGATCTTGCAGATTTTGATTTAATAAGTCTGAAAGGAAGCCAGCAGATCTATATTTTTAAAGTAAATCAATTGCCATCGTAACTTAAGTTACTGGCTCCAAAGGAAATTGAATTGTGGGTTGTTTCGGTTGCTCTGAAAAAAGAAAAAATAAGGATACTACTCAAAAGAATTTTTTTGAACGACAGCCCCTTCTACTAAAGCAGCAGTAGGCCAGCCCTCGACCCATCTTTCACGAACAAGCTTAATAATAGTGCGTTCTTAGCCAATCAACAGATTATGTGTGAAATCTGTAATTAAAAATTAATCTTTTTAAAAATATGTTGTATTTCTAAGTACTACTAGTATATACAGTTTCAAGAGACCAAATGCTAACTGACATCTCTGAATGTAATGTTGCCTGAACCTCTGTTTTCCTAGGAAGTGGAACGTAGGAAGTACAGGAAAATGAGCGCACTTGTTCACTATAGGGGAAATAACATGGTGGTGGTGAAGAAGGATGAAAAGAGAAAGAGATTCTATTTAGAGATGGGGAGCCGTTTAGGATCAACAGTGCTCAAGAGTGCTTGACACTCAGTGTGTTTGGAAGTGAGATCAGCTGCAGGAGCCTAAGACTTTTGTGAACTAATGACCTGCCCTGAGGGCAAATGATGAGATCCAAACCCTGTAAGTGTTTGTCCAGCTTAGAGGACAAAGAGGGTGATTACAGAAGTGAGAAAGGCTTTCTCTGGAGGGGAAGGGTTCTCAAGGGTAGCTTCCCTCCCACTGAGTTGGAACATAGCTAACCTTAACCTTAACCCTATAGGAGTGGAAAGTTATGGAGGGGTGGCTGTGGAGGCTACCGTAGAAACTGTACATACATTTGCTGCTACATTCTGTTAGCTTCTCTTCAAAGATTTCTGAGGAGACAAATCCACCTTTTGTTCCCCTTTTTGATAGTAAGAGTAATTTTTCAAAATCCACTCAAAGGGCCTTTTCCTTTAAAAGGGAACACCCTGTGTGCCCAGTGCCAAGCAAGCTACTGAAAGCCCTTAGTCCCAAAATTCCAGAGGCTGAGGCAAGAGAATCATAAACTCAAGGCTAGCCAGGGCTACAGGTTGAGCCCTTTTTTCCAAAAAACAAAACAAAACAAAACAAAAAATTAACAAGAGAAGAGGGTACAGAAGTTAGGTGAGGTGGCTCACACACCTTTAATCTCCACTAAGACAGGAAGACCAGGAGTTTGAGACTGGCTTGAATTATGAAGCAAGGACCAAGCTAGCAAGGGCTAGTTGAAACCCTATCTCAAACAAACACCCCCCAAACAAACAAACAAATAAAAGCAAACCCCAAAACAAATAACCGAATAAAAAAACCCAAAACCCTCCAGTCCAAAGTCTTTTGGTTTGTTGTGGTTTGTAACAGGGTCTCACTGTGTAGCTAAGGCTGGCTTTAAACTCCTCATCATCCTGCTGAAGCCTCTGAAACATTGCAGAACTAAGATACCACGCCTAACTTTGGGTGGCGGATGTTTCTTTCCCACTCGCCAGTTCCCAAATAAGTGAGACAGAGACTTAATTTTAATTACAAATGCTCAGCCAATAGCTCAGCCTTGTTACTAGCTAACTCTTATATGTAAATTAACCCCTATTTCTTATCTATGCTTTGCCATGTGGCTTGGTGCCTTTTCTTAGTACCATCTTGCCCATCTTGCTTCTCCCTGAAACTGCTGGAGACTCCAGACTGCCCTTCTTCCTCCCGGCATTCTCAGTTTGGCTCTCCCACCTAGCCTTTTCCTGCCCAGCTATTGGCCAGTCAGTTTCTTTATTAAACCAATCACAGCGACATATATTCACACAGTGTAAAGGAGTATTCTACAAACTTTGCTACCAGTTTTTGTCCCTAGCCTGTCAAACTAGGTCCTTGTCACCGCCCAGAATTGAATCAACAGAGAACTGACCACCAACGAGCTGTGAAGGGGAATTGTATTATTGCATTATTGTCAGGGAAAACTCACAAACCAACTTCTCAACTCTTGGGAATTGTGTGGTTCCCAAAATCGGGGGGAAGAGAGTAGCTTTTCTGGGACTAGGTGGGGATTTTTGAGGAGTTTAGGTACATCTTCTTTTCTGCTTCTTTCATGGCCCCTTGAAGAAGTTCTACAGTAATTGTCCACTATAATGCCCTGGAAGAAAAGCACTTCCACTCAGCAGGGAAGTAGAGTATAACAGACTGTCTGGCAGTCACTCTGGCAGCCATCTTTGATCCAACCAGTGTTTCTTACCGGAAGAGGAACCTTCAGCGTGTAGGCATCCCCAGAACAGATTAGGGTGGGTGGAGATCCAGCGAGGTCACCTAGGCACTACAGATGGCAACAAACACTTTGAGCATGGTTTGCCTGTTTCTTGACAGCTCCCTTCCAAGTTCCGGCAGATTCTGTGTCTCTAGGTGCTAAGTTTTCTGACCCCACAGAGTGCAGTTAGATTTAGGTTTCAACTCATGGTTCTTTGCCATTTGATTCCAAGAGCACTTGTCTTAGAATTAGACCTTAGTTGCTTGAGCTTGGAGAGAGGCACCTTCAAGTTTTTCTGCCTTTCAATTTACCTTGAGGTGTTTGAGAAAAGAGAAACATGATTTTCATTGTTGTTTATCTCCCCAGCATCCAGACATTTGTGTGGTTCCTTCTGGAGGGGCAGGGTTACACTAATTAAGCCAAACCTGGGTTCAGCTCCCTAGGGCAGAATAGCTCCTCTCCCACCACTGGTTTTCAGAATGAACGGGATAACATTTAGGAAGTACTGCTTAGAATAGAGACTAGCACATAACATGCAGTTTGGTAAGAGGCAGCACTCATCCCTTTGGCAGACAATGCCATCCTTTCAGCAAGGCGTGAGGATTTGAGTGAATTTGAGTGGAGTGAGGTTGAGGATTGCTGGAGGCCGACATAATTTAGGCAAGAAAAACTTGAGTGATCACCAGAGTGAATGGAATATGAATGCTTCTTCATATTTGTCCAGTAGGAATACTTAACCAACATGCACACCCCATAGGATTAGTACTCAGTAGGCTGACATAGGAGGATTGCCTCAAGTTCAAGAACCCGTCTCAAAACAAAAACAAAAGCAAAACAAAAGGGACTAAGAGTTTTCCTGTGGGCAATACAGTAGAATCTGAATGGGAAATGTGGTCAGATGCTCCAATACCTACCGAGCGAGGGAACGGGGACCAGAGGTAATTTATTACAGAGAACCCCATATACATATGGTAGGCATACCTGGTGACACACTTGGCTTTATCATTATTCTTTGAGCCTTGAACAATTTAATACACTGGCTCATACTTTTATATAAAATGCATAAAAGCTACAATCAACAATTGTCTGTCGCTCATGGCATCCATCTTTCTAAAAAAAAAATGCTGCTATTTTTAAAGAATTCTCTGGCAAAACTGTGTTTCTGAAACTAAAAATCTGAAACTATATTAACAGACAAAAGGGGGCTTTAATTGGGTACCTATCAGATGCCACTATCTAAATGAATTTTCGACTCTATTAAAATAACAATGATTTAAACTTCAAAGCAAACCCTGCCCAGCTGTTTACCCTGCTGCCCTAAGTATGCCTGTAAGATAGCTAGATCTTTTTTAGGCGTCTGTTAGTGAGCTTAATCTGTCTTTGTTCTTCTCAGGAATCTTGATGCATAAAGAACAGGGATGCTTTGAATCATCTTTCTAACATGGTCTCATTTTATACCTGTGCGAAGAAATGTCTAATTCTGAAGGGTACACGTAGATGAGACTCAGTGAATGCAAGGATGTTAAGAGGTTGGGGGAAATTGGAATACCACAAAGCTCTGGGGGAATTATGGAATATTTATGAAAATATGTGGTGCATTTTTGAAATGCAGATGTCTCTGGAGCTGGAAATGTAATCAGAGGAATGAAAACTGTCTTTAATAAATCTTCTTAATTAAAATCTATTGTTCAGAAAAAATATAAATCCTCCTCCAGTATTAGAAATGGTAGCAAGAGGTAGAACAGCATAGATCCAACAGAAGGCAGCAACAATGGTGATTAAGAGCCCTGGATACAGCACTCTTTTTTGAGCTAAATAAGCAGCATTTTGGTAGACCAGACATAAATTATTTACCATTATGGCACACAACAAGGTGAAAAAAATGGTGGTTTGTAGCACAAAAATATATATCCAATCACAGATGAAAAGAGAGAGCATGGTACACCCTTGTCATATCACATGAACTTATTTTGTTTTCAATTGCAAGGGCCTGTTCAAAGGACTGAGAAACAAATGACAAAAAATAACATAGCATAGCCTTCCTCTCAATATTCCTGTCTCTCTGAGAACCAAATAGAATGCTTAAAAATGAAAATACCTACATAATTGCATTCATGAAAAGAATATAAATGTCCCCCTTCTATTTATTCTTCAGCTGTCACTGGTTTTAAAGTCACTGTATCTTTCTAGGAAGCCAGTGTCTGGTGGCACAATTGTCATAACATCAATAGGGTGAAGTAAACTGCTTTTGTAAGTAGGCTAGCTGAGGCCAGCAGAGGCTGAGTTCTCTCTTACATAGTACAGGGAACATCATCTCTGGCTGAGGATGCTCGTTTTACCCCTTCAAGGACTGGAGATTCGGAGTGTCTGGTGATCTTGTAGAAGGAAGTTGTAATAAATTTCAGACCTTGGAATCATCAATATATAATGCTTTTGCTTGATTACACGTTGTATATGGAAGATGTCTCTAGTCACATACTAGGCAAATAATGTCTTAGTCCAGGGATAGTTATCACAAATGATCTAACCATTCTGCAGCCATCCCCCATGGGGTTCAACAGTTGAAGAGTCTCCATGTCTTGTTTCTAACTTGCCAGTGCTGTTTAGATAACCAGCTCTGTGAGCGTTTACGTTGTTCCTGTCAGTTCTCAATTGCAGGTGCCTGGGCAGCAGGTGGGGAGTTCAGAGACATACTCATGCATGGACATACTTTTCTCTGGTCATACTTGCAGGGTTCTGTGTAGCATTCTGGGGATTGTATGAATACAAAAATGCTGTGGGCCTTTGTGCAAACTGTGAAAACAAAAAGGAAGAAAGCAGGGTCTTTGCAATGTCTCCCACAACTCATGAGCTTTGTTCCTGATAAGTGGAGCAGCCAGCCCATTGGCACTTTCTAAACTCACTCTGGAAATGCGGAATCTCAGGCCACAGACTAAGCCCACTGACTCACAGTTTGCATTTGAACATAATCCCCAGGTTCTGAGTATTCATTTAAAAGAGTGTCTGAGACACTGTTCCTAAATAACACATTTGTTTTCTATTTAAAATATCTGGAGAGATGGCCCAGCAGTTAAAAGCATTTACTGCTCTCCCAGAGTGTATGAGTTAGGTTCCCAGCATTCACATCAGGGGGCTCACCATCTTCAACTCCATCTCTGACACCTACCACAGGCACCTACAACTCATGAACACATACCCACATGCGGATATACACCCACTTAAACATAACTAAAAATAATTTCTAAAAATTCTGCTTTCCTTGAAGTACATGAACACTACAAAAAAGTGTGTCATATAGCTATCTTGTGAAAATATCATATAGGAACATTTACTCAAAAATAAAAATTTCAGCTAGATGTGATGGCTCATACCTATGATTCTAATATATTTTTTAATTGAATATGTAAGGCATATTTCAATGACTGTATTTCTTCAGAAATTAGGATGAGTCAAAAATTTATATTTTGTAGAATTTGTGTCCACTCAAGGAATGTAGGTGCAATTGAAGGGTTTGTAGGGTTTACTGGATGGATGGTATAACTGACCTGTGATTTTATTGGTGCTTAACCTGAAGGGTACAATGACTAAGGATCATCTAAAAGATGACAGATGTGATTTGGGGGAGAAGCTTGGAAAAGAAGCCCCAGCTGACCAAAATGTGCATTCTACGCTGCAGTTGGACAATCAATCTTCTGTTAAGTCTTAGTCCTACTGGAAAAGAGAAGTTTGAAAAGGTGAGAACTGTGTAAAACAACTTCACTCTGGACAATACGAACACCGACCGGGTCTGTATTTGCGACAGATTTGTTGTCTAAAGATGCTTTCTCGTCCTACTGCGAGCTGTGAGTCAGGGGATGGTGTTTCCTCCTAAAATGCACTACAGTATCCTGCCTGAAAACAGTCTCAGGAGGCGATGTAAGTTCAGCAAATGGCATGCTCTGTGCTGCCCATTGATTGTTCTAGAGCATAAGTGGGAATAAGTCAACTAAAATACTGTTGCTTGTGCATCTATCTGTAAAAGAATAAAACACACACAGACCCAGATACTCTGCCTTGAATAATAATGAAAATATTAATCTCCAAATACAACTGATTCTTCATTAAGTATAAACATGTTGAAATCATCCAGTTATCATGTAAGTTATCAATGATACAGTAATTGTTTTTTAAGATTTAATTTATTATTTTATTTTTGTGTACACATCAGTTTATGTGGGTACCTAGGGAGGTCAGGAGGTGTTAAATCCTTCAGATCTGAAGTTATAGGCATTTGTGAACTGCCTAATGTGGGTGCTGGGAACAAACCAGACCACAGTCCTCTGACAAAGCTGTAAGGCTTTAAACTGCTGAGCCATCCTTCCCACCCTAGCATTATAATAATTAAATGAAAGGAGAGTGCACTGTTTACAAATTAAACAGCTTGTCAATCTTTGCTGGACAGAGATGTTTCTACTAAATGCATGTTTCTATTACCGTAAGAGAGGAGAAGGAAAGAGTTGTTTCATTTCTGAGATCTAGCTTCGTTGAAGTTGAGGTATATCATATTTTAAAAACATTTCTAGCTTATTGCAGAACATGACTGGATTTTTAGTGGAAAAGTTTAAAATATCTTGTTAAACTAAAGAATTTTAGGCTTAGTTGACACAATTAGAATATATATATGTATATATTAGAATATATGTATGTATATACACTATATATATTCACATCAAATCCATCATGTCAGGAAACACTGACATAAATACATAAAAACACAGATTATCTTTCTCTCCACATTTTATTCATTTAAAAGCTCAGTAGTATCAGAACTCTTAGCTTTCTTAATGTTGAGTTGTAGTAATATATTGTGTCCCCCAATACATTGTGCATCCTAATAAAGTTTATCTAAGAATCAGAGGAAAAAGTCAGTCACTAGAGTAAACATATAGGTTAGTCAATGGTAGCACATGCCTTTAATCCTAGCATCCGGGAGGCAGAGATCCAGCTGGATCTCTGTGAGTTCAAGGCTACACTGGTAACAGAGTCAGGCATGGTGGCATATGCCTTAAATTCCAACATTAGCTAACCATAGAGGTCTGGAGGTCTGTACAGATAGACAGGAAGTGATATAGCTGGGCGGAGAGAGGAAATGAGGTAGCAGAACAGAAAGGCATATAGGCGTGGGTAGACAGGAAGTAGTTCTCATTGGAGAAGTGACATGGGTAGTATGTGCCACATGTAGAAGAATTCATCTGAATAGAAACATTTTTTTTGTTTTGTTTTTTCGAGACAGGGTTTCTCTGTGTAGCTTTGTGCCTTTCCTGGAACTCACTCTGTAGCCCAGGTTGACCTCGAACTCACAGAGTTCCAGCTGGCTCTGCTTCCCGAGTGCTGGGATTAAAGGCATGCGCCACCACTGCCCAGCTGAAACATTTTAAACTTTCATTTGTCATTCAAAAATATTTCTTGAGCACCTACTATGTACCAAGTACTGTGCAATAAACAAAACAAAGACATTTGTCTTTGTGTAATTAAAGCACCGTGATGTACACAGTTAAGGATTGCATGAACAGTATAAGCACCAATTTAAAATATATGGCAAAAGATGAGTAACTTCATGGGGCAGAGTCAGTGAAGAATACGGAACATGGAACTTCAGTGGGGATGTCATATAACTTTATTTTGGCTTAGACTACTTCAAAACTCAACTTTCCAGTTTAAGTGAAAAACATGAACAAGATACTTTACTTACTATCATTATTTTATGTGACTCAGCTTGGAAAGGTCATGGAGGCTAATCACTAGATTACAGATGGCTATATATAAGCATACATGTGTATGTCGAGAACAGGTTGTGTGTAATTGTGTGTATGTGTACATGTGCCTGCTTCATTTTGTGTGGAAATGCAGGCAGAACTGCAGCAGCTGATGGGAAACATTTCAATGTTTAAATGGCAAAACTTTTTTTTTTTGAGTCAAGGTCTCACTATGTCATTCTGGCTCTCCCGGAACATAGACCAGGCTAGCTCTGAGCTCATGGAGCTCTGCCAGCCTCTGCCTCCCATGCGCTGCGATGAAAGGGGTGCAGGACCATGCCCAGTGGCAGGCTTGTTTTTAAAGAAACATCGATATGAGTTATTCTGCAAAACTCTTCAAAACTCAGGCGATTTGTTTGTTTTATAAATTAAAAATGTGATTGGAATTTTGCAACTTTGGTGTTTTTGAATATGAGCTAGTTTTAAAGTGTTATAGAGAAATGCACGTGACTACATTAATACATAGGAACACAATAATCAAACTCATTGTCTATAGGACTGCAGCTAACACAGGCTGAAATGGTTATTTTGTTGGAGGGGATGGTGGGAGCCAATTTTTTGCTTGTTTGTTTGGCTTCTACATTTTCGACTTAAAATAATGCTTATGCTAAAAGTTCCCAAACATCTAATGTATTTTTACTCAACAGTGTCCCTTGAACTAAGTTTATGTGGCCGAACTGTTTTGGAATAAAATAAACCATCTCTGATCTTGTTCTTCTTTCTACTACATCTGAAATAAAACATTGAACAAGTTATATAACACAATCATGACCATTTGGAATAAAATGTGTCCACAGAGAGCCCCCAAAGCGAATGACATGAAATCTTTCAGCGGAAGCTGGGGGAACCGCAAGTAGTGGCTAAGTGTAGACTTATGCAAACTTAATTATGGCTTGCCATTCGTCCTGTTTATCATATTCTGTTTTTCACAAATGCAACAATAAATATTTTTTGTTAGAAGCAACTAATGTGGTAATTATGGATTTTCCTCAACCCAGGCAAACAGGAGGACTTTCTCGAGGAATAGAAAAATCACAGCTTGGAAGTCATTTAAGCTTTAAGATCTGTAAGAAGGAATTTTAAAAGTGCTAATTAAATACTTGTTAACATTCTGTATAGGAATTCCTTTTTGTGAGAGGTGAATCACAAGTCTCTAAAGAAGGTAATAAGCCCTCCTCAGAAATTTGTATAGAAAACCCTGCTTCTTTTTTTTAAGGGATGGTTTAAGGGAAAACAAAAAGCATCCTTAGGCAGCATTTCTGAAAAAAAAAATAAACATGTAAATGGAAAGAACTCAGTACCTTTATAACCAAGAAAATGTAATGATGTAAGAAACAAATTTTCAATGAGAGAAGAAATTTGTCAGCAAAGATTTTTTTCAGTTCTGCATATTATTTTATGATTGGTTTGTTAATCTAATGGTTGTGTTATAGAGGGTGGTGTCTATCTTTCTGAGTTATTCCCTCTTCTTAATTTTTTATTGTTGTTTTGTTCTTGCTTAGTAAACTAGTGTTGAATATACAGAGACCTGATTCCTCCTGCTTGTGTCCTGATAGGAGGGTTTCTTCCTGCCTGTCTCCTTAGATTGGCTGGAAAGAATGTATCAATAAATGAAGGAATCTTCCATTGTGTTTTAGATACTACATCACATGTGCACCCCTTGGCAAGGCTACAGTAACCAAATATATTAGAGACTTACTCTGTTTTCAGGTGATTCCCTCTCCCACCACACTCCAGCCTTATCCAGCTACTGCTCTCCTATCCACCTAATATGTCTTATTTTCCTACGCTGCAGTTCAGCATCACCTCGAGTTACCTGCATAGCTACTCTTTGCTACAGATCGAGGAATTAGGAAGTAATTCAAGGATAAACCCTAAAGAATAATATCTCTATATTTTATAGAATTCAGGTCTTTCAAAGGGGTGGCAAGTGGGATTAAGGAATGCTCAGAGTAATTCTTTCCCCATCAGCTCAGGAATGTATGTCTTTAGCTTCTGTTAGTAGAATTTTTTTTAACCTTAGATCTAATGATACATTCTAGTAGAAATCCAACTCAAGTAGAAGACTTTTTCTAAAAAGAAATATAAACAATAATCTATTCTTTTTTTTTTTTTAAATACGACTGGCAAAAGGAAGACCCTGCAAAGTTGGTGGAAATCTATAGAGCATGCTTTGTGCATGACAAATGCAGTCTGATTCCCTGCAAGTGGCTTTCCTTTGATTTACAAGTTCAAAGTTTCCATTATAATTTCATATTTACACAGGCACAGCTTATAGAAAGGGAAAAAAAGGCCATAATTTGTACATTTTACCCCTGGCCCTGCTCAGACATTTTTATATATTTTATGTGAAAGTATTACTGATTTATTTTAGTTTTAAATATAAAAATACAACTTAAGAAGTTACATTATTTTACAAGAATCATTCCTGAGTCACACCCCACTTTATTAATTTTAAATAAGGATGAGTATATAACTGTAGAATCCAAATAATTCATTTTCATCTTGGAGGACAGAAGAGAATGGAAAGAATAGGGCAACAGAGTATCGACTTGTTTCTGTCTCCCCTAAGAATACATAGTAAGCTTTGACATAATTTCCCACAGATATGAATCACACTAACTTGTAGATAAAATTTTATATTTTAAGATTACTAATGCTGTTAAGATCTGTAAATGTGGTGGTGTGTGTGTGTGAGGGGGGACCAGACCCTAATGTACAAGTTACTACATGTACATGCCTTGAGAAAATGGGAGAGTTACATGAAGAGCACCATAATATTCAGTACTAAGGCAATGTTATAATTCATTAATTCATTATAATTCATTAGACAAACGTCCCAAGGAGAGGGCAGAATGTACAATGAGTGTTTTCTGGAAATGAATTACTAAAAGTGAGTAGAGTATGCAAAGACTTCAGCATTGGAGGCCCCGCTGGGCTTAAAAGGGTATGTGGGGGAGGCTTTCACCCACCGTTAAATATTTGAAACGCCACTTTAAAAAATAAAACCACGAATGTCTCATCAGTTCTTATGGCATCAGGCTGACTCTGACTTGAATGCATTTTTCCCTCTTTGCGAAGATGAGATTTTTAAAACATGCACCCAGGACATTTTACATTGATTTAGGCCAGTTGGAGAAAACACGGTTCAGTGTAGGATTTCAAACTGTTCCACTGAATACAATAACATTTGCAGTCGTGGCACCGTTCCATAATAATTTTAAAAGATTTCATTTTACTTATCATTGCAAGCCATTATCTGATCATATTTGACCTACATATTCATATTTTCATTACCATTCAAGCTCATTTTTGCTCTGTACAATTTGTCAGCACTCTTCGCGGAGATATTATTTATTTATTCTGGAAATATCTGGAATTCTTTCACCCTACGTTTTCCTTAGGGACCCTGTCCCTCCTTCTAAAGTATTGATATTAATATCTGGGGGAGGGGAACACATTCAATAAAAAGCGAGAGAGAGAAAGAAAGAGGTTTCTCTTAATGGTACACTACAGGAGAAGTAGAAAAACAAAGGGGGAAAAGAAATGATAATTGTTTTCTCTAAGGCTATTATCTAATGCGAAAGCAAATAGTCAGTCTGGAAATCAGCTAACAGAAGGGGATTAGAGAGCTCTGAGAGTGGCTTGATTTCTAGCAGAGCTGTCTCTGCAGCCAGGGATGAGACCCAGGCAGGGCAGCTAGGAGCGCTCCAGATGGCCAGGGAAAGTGGTCGTCTTGGGTTACTGCAGGGCACTGGGGCCACCAACACATCCCGACCCGGGGAAAGCATCCTTAGGGAGCCAGCCCCACATCCAGCCAGGACCAGAGAGGGCGAGGCCGGGAGCCAGGCCTCCGGCCGGCCAGCGCACCCCTGCGAGCCCGGTCTGCCCATTGTTAACATATACTTGACCTTCGTGACCCCCGCACGACACAGATGTCTCCCACCTTCACCGCCCCCCAGTCGCCCCCCCCCCCCCGCCCCCGCACCTGGTCGCGGCCGCGCCGCCGCCTCCCTCCCGAGCGGTCGCGGCGCCCCCCGGGTGCGGGTGCGCGCCGCAGCCGGCCTGGTGCGGGCGCTGTGGGCGCTGTGGGCGCTGTGCGCTGCGCGCGGCGCTCCTGCTCCCCGGCGGACGCCCGGACGCCCTGCAGATAAATGCAGTCGCCTTCCTCGAGAGCGAGCGAGGGCGGGCGAAGCGGACGCAGACGCCGCCTGTGACAGTGGCAATCCCCTGCGCCCCACATCACATTTGTCTGCCACAGCAGCAACAACAGAGGAGCGGAGGGAGGGAGGGAGCGAGGCGGGAGGAGGGGAGCTGAGCTCGGCGCGCGCCGGGCTCCGCGTCGCAGGCTGCGTCTGGCTGGCGTCCGCCACCCCGGGCTCTTCGCCCCGCAGCTCGCTGTGCGCGGCGGCCGCCGGTGCTCGGCAAAGACCAGGCGGCCTCCGGGGGAGCGCGCGTGGGCGAGTGGCCGCGGACACTCTGGCCCCGCGAGGGAAGCGACGCCGCGCCTTGGTCCTTTGGCCCCGCGGGCCGCCACCGACCGCAGGAAGTTTTATTTGCAGCTGGGAGCCCGCGGCGGATGGTGGGACTCTCCGGCCCTGTGCAGTGTAAGTGCCTCCGGGCGGGCTGGGCCGGCGGGCGGGCGGGCCAGCGGGCCAGCGGGCCAGCGGGTGGCGGGGACCGGCCTCGGGCTGGTACTGTTAATTACTATTCCGATGACCGTCAGCTTCGTTTGGTTTAATTCGACCGAGAGGCTCTGAACTTGATACTCAACTAGAGTAGGAGGACTGCGTAGCAGGGCAAAGAAGAACATCGCGGTTTTTGGAGTCCGCGATGACACTGAACTTCGTGGACAAGCCAAGGCAGCATTTCCCCTCTTTTTTTAACATTAGATTCCACGCACTCTTTTTTTATTTTTATTTTTTCATCAAAGGAGATTAGAAAGATGAGCGTGTCTCCTTCGACTAACGACTAAACAACTAACTGGTCAAGGTGCCCACGGTGTGTTTGGCAGGTGGCTCCACACCCGCACCGTGGGTTTTCGAAACTGGAAGCAAAAGGTTGGTTCTCTTGGTGGACACCTTAGTTCTAGGAGCAAGAGGAAGAGTCCTAACTTAGTACTGTGCTGTCACTTGGGTGGGCGTCCTCTTAGTTGCACCCCGGCTCGCGTGACAACTTTCTCCTTACCCTTGGGTTTCTTGGGGGTGCTTTGATGGAAGGCATCGACAAAGACGCTCAGGCAGCTTCTCTGAACCAAGTCTCCTGCCAGAGGCAAGTCCTGAGCTTCGCAGCCGGTGACACCTGGGCAGCATCGCCTCTGCGGTACCTCAGTGCGCGGCTGGCCCAGCGGTCCTGGCCCTCCAGGGTGCCCCCATCGCAGCCCCGACCCGGTTACGCTCGCCTGTTTTGAGCCCAGAGCAGAACGTAGTGCCCAGTAGCTCCCGCCCGGCGGAATCCAGACCCGAGCTGCAGCGGGGAGAATTTATTACGTTTTGCAGAAATCCTTCAGGGAAAGTTCCTGGGGCTAGCGGATTCCCGGGACCCGCGGTTCACCATCCTCAAGGCGGATCTAGAAGGTCCAGGTCGGTTGGCACATCTACACCCGCTCCCCGGGCGGACCTTTGGCTGCCCAGGGTGATTTAAGCAAATACGGTTAGGTAGGCATAAGGTACTTAAACCCAGTTTTTGAACCTGCTTTTCCTTTTCTTTTCTTTTTTTTTTTTTTTTTTTTTTTTTTTTTTTTTTTTTTTTTGGTAAGGTCAGTTAAGCTTTGGAAAAGTTTTGAGTGTTTTGATTATGGGCAGTAGGATGTGAACCAGGACTGTTACTAAAAATAGCTACAGCTACGTTCCCTCCCCCTCTTCCCCCTAGGCTGTTACAGCTTGGAGGATTTTGCCAGAGTCTTGGAACTCTCGGCCTTCTTCGCCCCTTGCAAAGAGTAGAGGAGAAATCGTTTGAATTTAGGTTTCCTTTAGGACTGGGCACCACAAATCCCAGCGTGCCCCAGAGTGACTGGTGCTTCCTGGGAAAATGCACAGAAAGAAGCTTGAAAGGAATTATCTAGTATTCCCTGGGAAGAGCCAAGGAGTGAGGACCAGGGGGCTGGAGAGGCCACTCCAGACCAACTTCATGTGCTTGATGTAACTCGGAGCCCTCTTGAATTTTTAACTTCGATTCCCTTAATTAATCTGCCCAGGGCCTGTATATAAATGGCTGTCCACAGCTGCTGCAAATTGATTTATCTCCTGATAAAGGTCGGGCTGCTGACCAAAGCATTCTTTATACCTTCTGTGTGAACTCAAAAGTGTTTTACAGGATTTCCCCCTCCTAGTCTCTTTTTCAACATCTGTACGATTTTTAAGTGCACTCAGTGGCTCTTATTATCACCCCTCCTTTGCACAGAACTGAAGTAGAGCTGGGTCTATGCCCAGGGAGTCCACACTCCCCAGAATACAAATGGACCAGCTTCTCGGTGATGAACGGTTTGTTAATCTTGGGGGCTCCTTTTAGTTTATTGCAGCCCTTTGCCTTGACCACGCAAGTGTTGAACTTCCCTGCTCACACAATTCCTTAGAAAGGATCCGCACACACCATTGTTTCTTCAGCCTCCAGAGCCTCAGTTTTGGTGTTTATGTCAGTTCTAATGTGTCTAAACAAAAACACATTCCCACTGCTATGTATTTCCCCCATATTAGTTCTTAAAGTGCTGTCTAGTTTTAGCACTATGGTGACTGTCAACGAAGAGGGAGAGATGGCTATGTGGTTTCATTTTCTTTTTACTATTGTTTTTAAAAGAGAGGTTCAAAAGTCTCACATGATGTTAACTAGAATCTTAGTTTGATCCAGGTTGGTTTTTTTTTTTTTTTTAATTTTCCAACCAGGATGAGTGTTCAAAAAGTCGAACTCTCCCCTTATCTTACTGCATTTTGCATGTGATGTTTTATTAATTTATTCTTTAAAAGACAGAATCCCAATAAAATCACCAAGGAATCATTCTGGGCACACAGAAATTGGGTTTTAGCTGAACCTATGCTTAGAGAAGAACTTCATATTAAATATATTTATTTAACCATTAATTACAAACCATGTAGACGACAGCCCCTTTATTTGAAAAACTAGATATTGTGTGGGAGAATTTCAGTATGTGATTTTGCTGGTGTCTGGTTCTCATCTGATAAAAGCAGCAGACAGAGCACCTGGATTGTTTTTTCTCCAATATTTAGACAACTCCAAGCAGACCAGAAGCCTTTGAGATGATATTTTTCTTTGTTGACTAAGTCTCTTTCACCACCAGTGCCTGCTAATGACAATGACTCGATTTTTAAAATGGTCTTTGAAAGGACTTTCCTAATAAGTGTTCTACCTTCAGTGCAGTGGAAGCTGCACTATTAAGTGGCAAGTTCCAGGAAATAGCAGGACAGCATCCTCTGAGCTACAGACCACTGCTTTGTAATACTTATCCAATCCTTCTTTTCTGAAAGAAGGGAAGCATTGCCCTTGATGTTAGGAGCAGCAATGAGATTTCTCATCGAGGTGTTAGCCTAAATATTTTTGGGTAAACTCTACAAATTGTAAAGAACCTCACAAATGTCAGGTGCCGTTATAATTTATTTTATTGTAAAATAGAGGCTTATCTACTCCCTCCCTTCTTTTTTAAACATTGAAAAGGGATCACGAGAAAGAAATGCTTCCATTAAGAATGCTGGTCAGTGGTTGTCAGTTTAGGACATTCTTCACTGTCAAATCCTGTTTCTCACTTCTTTGATATGAACATCAGCTGACAGGCCCTGAATGCAAAGCCTTCTTCATTGAGGTTTTATGCAGGCAACATGGCCCTTCATAGCAAAGCAGTCTGAAAAATTGGCACCTGCACAATTTGCATGTGAAAAAAACCAAGTCAGTTGCATTTTGCTGGAGTCTATTACTGTAAGTTCTGTAAGTGGGAAAGGCTATTTATTTGTTGATGTTTGGGCATTGAAAGGTTCTTTATTATATAGGTGCTTTATTCATCATTTTGGGATCTTTGGTCTTTATTGATAGCAAAAGCAGGACAAATTGAGCTTTTGGTTCGTAGAAGTTATTTACTGTGAGATGGAGTCATTTAAACTGTGAACTTACAAAAGTCATTTCAATTCAGTTAAAATTTTTAAATTGCCTTGGAAGAAGGTTTTAAGAATAATCTATTAAAAGTTAAGTACATGCATACAGTTAGGGTAGCAGGAGTATCAGGTGAAAACAATCTAGCATTTTAATAGTTAGGGACTTCATTACCAACTCCGAAGTCCCCAAGAATATAGACAAACATTTCAAACTTCTAAACTTCAGGGGGGGGGGGGAAATGCTGGTTCCCCTCATTTTGCTTGTTAAATTGTATTGGTCACCTGTATGACCTGTGCAAAACTGCATTTGCCCCTCTTTGTATAAACCAACAAATAAATGTTAAATCAACTATAAAAACCTTTGTGAACCTCAGACTATTGTCCACCAAAAGGGACATTTTATCCAGAGTAAGCTATTTATTATTACCTAGAGAGACACCTTCCAAGTTCACCCTTTTACAGCCATTAATATAAGAGTTCCTAAATAATGTTTAAAGAACAGTGAACATTTTATTAAAGCAAACATTAGTTCAGTTTAATGGAGGTAATTGTAAACGATAAGACAGAGCGGGTTATCTCTGTGCTGTCTAAACACAAGGAGCCACTTTGCACCATTTCCAGTAGCCATCTGTAGAAGAGAAGGGTTTGCACCTGTCTGTCCACACTAATTATAGATTAAGGGCAAAAGGAATGAAATTCAAGGAGGTTTTCGGCTAATGAAATCCATACTGATTTTATTGTAAATGTGTTTATGTAAAGAGGATGATAGTTGAGTTATGAGTAAATAAATTGCTATGTAGCTGCTAGGCACTTGGTTCTGGAGCACAATTCTGCTGCATTAACCTTTGGTATTGAAAAAATAAAGACGATAACTTGGACATGGGTGGTAGGTAGTCTTTGTTTGGCATCCATAGTTACAAGTTAGTAACAGCAGTGGGCTCAGCAGCTTCGAAATGGGCAGTAACGCAGCTTAAACGCCAGAAATGTTTTCATGTTCCGAAATGCAGATGGAGGGAGGTCTTGTGTTAACTTATACACAGAAAGAGTTTTTTAAAAACTGGAAAGCTTTTTTCCCTTTTCTGCATTTTCAGCTTCACCTCCATGAGAAATTAAAGACAAATGACTGAGGAATGCATCCTTCAATGAAAGGTCACACGAATGTCTACCACATCTGTTTATAGTAATTATGAACATAATTAACATAAGAATTACAAATGAAATAATGACAAGCTGAGCAATGAGATATTATGCCATAATGGTCATATGCTGGAATTCTCACATTATAACACACTAGACTTCACATACTCAAAGAAAGAAAGAAAATGCTAGATTTTATCTGAATTAATGTTTCAAAACTTATCTGCCTGGGGCAGATGGACTCCTTGCTTTTACAAGAAGGTAACCTATTATTAAGAAAAGAACTCACTGAAATTAAAATCTTGATTCAGCTTGGTCGTTAAGTTGTCTGTAATTATAGGTACCACTTTCTGTTGGGTACTCAGTCCATGATAATAATTCCTGATTACTATATTGCTTTGGGTTTTGTTTTGATTTTCTTGAGACAAGATCTCATTCTGTAGCCCAGGCTAGCCTAGAATTTACTATAGGGTGCAGGCTGGCCTGGAACTCATAGTGATCCTCCTGCATCAGTCCCCTGAGCATTGAGATTACAGAGGAAGGGGGGAGGTCACCACACTGAGCTTGTGTGTGTGTGTGTGTGTGTGTGTGTGTGTGTGTGTGTGTATGTGTGTAGCACACAAAGTGGTAGAAACACTGTACTTTCAGAAAACAAGAACACCCATGCATTAGTTGCCCTGCAGTTTTCATTGTGCCTAGTCTTTGGGATACCTTTTGGGGAAAAATAAGTCTGTTCTGAGGTTAAAGGCGGTATTTCATTTTTATGCATGTGTTAATTGCACAAGATAATGGGTTTGATGGTGACATTTCTGTGCACATGCCTCTAGTCCATTTTTGTTAGCACATTGTAACAGAGAATGTAATGGGAGAAAGAAAATCAGTGTGCATTTGTGTGTTGTATTCCCTGCCCCCCCCCTTCCTGAGTTGCATTGGATTTCAAGGTGTTTGTATACAGTCTGTGCCCAAACAGATCTAACTGCAGTGACTGCTGCTGGCTACCAGGAATGCAGTTTTCTGTCAGAGTGAGAGAGAAGGTGAAAGGACACCCTTTACAAGAGCTAAAGGGGTATTCTGGAAATCTGTTATTAAATTTAAACCATGTAGGGATGACAGATTTTCACCATGCAGAGCTCACTTGCTTCTGTCATGTAACCTGCCAAGTGGGTTTACTTCCTGCCCCAGCACTCCTCACTAACGACTGAACCTGGTCACTTTGTGAAGATTTATGGAGAAATATTACCTTGTTCTTGTGCAGTGATACTGAGAGGCTTTCCACATTATTGGATTACTGGAGGATTGTAGCAGAACCCCTTTTATCTGGCATTCATTCTGTGACAAGATTTTCACACATGCCCTTCCCCCACTATGCCTAGCTTTCTTCACTTTGTGTTACCTATCAAATTTCCCTTGATTCTTTTCTTGGGGCATGAGTGTGTGTGTGTATGTGTGTGTGTGTGTGTGTGTGTGTGTGTGTGTGTGTGTGTGTGTGTGTGCGTGCGCACAAGGCATCCATTGCACAGAAGACCAGTTTTGTTGTTTTAGGCTAGGTGATTTGGAAGGCACTTGATGAAACAAAGCCTCTCTTAAAATATGTCTCTGGTTTTCTCTGTCTCAACTCATTAACCCCGTTCCTGCCCCATTTTTTCGCTTTTTACTGACTTTTCTTGTATAGACTATTTTATGACCCCAAGTTCACAGCAGCTGTGGCTGCAGTGTACGCCAGGCCAGTCTGTGGTTTATTGAACTCTCTCTCCATAGTACAGGAAAGGCTTAACCAAGCTTCAGTGCCTAGAAACACAACACAGCCAAACACTCCCCTCCCCCAATAAGAAGACCTCCTTTGCTGCATTATCCGCACTCCATTAAGGATCTGATCAGATGTTCAGATTGTCTGATGGGTGCATTTAAAAGTGAAAAGGGGCTCCCTAGGGACTACTCAGGTGTATCCCCCTCCTGACCCTGCTGGGGCGGAGGAGGATGAACTCTGGCCGGCTGGCAGAGCTTGTTCTGATTGATTCTCAGGCTCTGGGTGGGTGAAGAGCTGTAAGCCAGCTCAAGCCAAGATTGATTGCCTCAATTTCGAATTCCCACCTCCCAAACAGACTCTCAGATGTACACAGAAGGAAGCTCCTACCCCAACACGACTTCTGGAGGTGGAGCAGGTGTCTGAGTCACCTGTAGCCACCAATCACAAGTGGTCCTCCTTATCACAACGATGCTGACTGCCCTGAATCTTCAGCTAGGACACACTCAAAGCCTGGAAAGAGAGGGATGGGTGTGTGTGTGTGGGGGGGGGGGGGCTCTTTTGTATCTCCCTGTATCTCCGTGTGTGTGGGGTGAGTGGGGGCTGGGCTTTAGTATATGGGGGGTCAACAGAGAGACAACTCCCACAGGAGCTCGTCCTGGCAGACTGTAGAACTGCTGTATGGGCACAGTAGATTTGTTTTGCAAATTTTGTGTCTTTGGATGGAGGTGAAGTGGTGAAAGTGTCACTGTCAAAACCACCGAGAGCGCTCTTGATCCCGCTGACCTTGACAGAACCTCTAATGTTAGAGGATCCACGGGGTTGGCAAATCCAAATATTTGGGAGGTGGGGCTGATTCGGGGGCGCAGGTTACCCGGCAGCCCTGATTGCCACCACCTCCCAGCCTCTCTGGGTAGCTGTCCTCATGCTCCGACCCCATCCCAGGCCGGTCCCCGCCCCTGAATCCCTTCCCTGTCTCCCCTCCTGCCAGCATCTCTTCCCTCCCTCTCTTCCCTCTCTCTCCCACTTTTCCTCCCGCTCCCCTCCGTCTCGCACGCACCCTCTGTTTATTTTCCTGCCTCCATCTGGGCCCTGCTGATATTGTAATCACCCTGATGCACGTTGGCTCCTCTCCTCTCCCTCCCGCGCGCACACACTCACTCACACACAATGTGCCATCCCGACCAGCCCTTTACTTCTGATAAGCTCCGATGTGTGTTTAATGAATACAAAGCGGCGGTGTGGGGGCCGCGCGGCCGGCCGCCTCGCGCGCTCGCCGCCGGAAGGTAATCTCCGCGGCCGGGCTGGGGGCGGCGGGGCGGGGCGCGGCGTGGGGGCGGCCCCCCAGCGATCTGGAGCAGATAAGAGCCAGGGAAGTGAAGATGTAACCTGTTATCGGGCGCTCCTCTTAGCTGCCAGAGGGAATTTACATTTAAAGATTACAGAGGGAGAGAGAGAGGATCTGCCTTTTGTTGTGCGGGGTGAGGAGGAGGCAGCGGCCCTGGCCTCCGCGCTATCTCCCATCACCTCAGCTATCCAGACGGGGACTCACGGAGGTGAGATTACGGAGGGCCTTATCTTTAATTGGGTTTAGTGTTGCCAGCCTGAATAGGTTTAAAGAGACTCGATAAAGGGGGAACAATAGATTATTTGTTGATCGGACGCTGGAACCCTCAGATGTAGAAGAGAGAGGAAGAACTCTTAACAACTTGATTAGCTCTATTTTATTTTGATTTTGAGGTGACAGGGTCTCTCTTGGTAAAAGGAGGAAGGACTAGGGAACTTAGGTGCGATTTGAGTGATTTGCAATGTTTTATTCCCCATGCATGCTTGCTTTTCCAGCACTTCTGCGCCTGCCTTATTTTAAAGGTGCTTTCTCACCTTTTCTCTTTAGGGTTGATAAAGTGAGGGAAGGGCAGAGGCTTTGGGGATTGCTCATCTGTATTTGGTTTTGTGTGGCTTGGTTTGAACAGGTGATTAATTGATGCTTTAGGTCCTAGAAGGAGTGTGAAAAGCCAATGAAGACCACTTTTAATATGGAAGGAGGAGAATGGTAGATTATGGTTCAACTCAGGCTAGAAGGGCGAGCATCATTCTAGGTGTGGTAGAGAGATTGTATTTTGTATTTGAACCATGCCATCTTTTGCTTGAAGTCAGTGTGGGGGGAAAAGAAGCAAATTGTCACTTGACTCGTGAATGTATTTTTAAAAAATCGTGTAAACTTTAGAAGGTTCTTAAAATGAATAAAAGTAGACAAAATGATTGCTTTTGCCTCCTACACACAGTTGAGATGGGTGTTCTCATAGGTACCTAGATATGAGCCAGTAACTAAAAGCCCAATTAAAATTTGTTTAAAGCCAGAGGGGCATGTTTCCTTGTTGACAGCGGCAGATCGATTGGGGAAGACAATAAGTCCCATTATTTTACTTCCATTGACTGAACATATTGACATTACAGGTTTGCTGTTGCCCCAGTGAGCATGACAAAACACTGACATTCACAGACCAACTGGTCAGAGTGGTGCAAAGATTACAGCATGTCCCCTCTGCCTTCAGGTTACCTTATCACTCAGGCAGAAGGGGGAAGGCTAGCCTGCAGGTCTTCAGAAGGAGCAGAGCATTTTTGGTTAAGGAACTGTCAGATAGCATGTCTTGGGAATATCAATCATTTCTCCAGAATTGAATATTACATAGAAATGTATATTTATTCAAACATCTTGGGGGCAGCAACCTAGTCAGCAATCTTGAGTATTTCATATAAGAGAACACCCATTTCCAAGATATCCCTTTACCCTCTCTGGAAATAATTACAGTAGGTGGCCAGTTGTGTTTGGGTGATTCCACTGTGCTCCAGTCTAGGGTTCTTACACAGCTAAGTCTGTGTCTTAGAAAAAGTGTTTAGAGTTTCTCCAGACATAGCGCCTGACTCTGACTTCTCTACAGTTTCTTTTGGTGGGTGAAACAGGAAATGGATGATGGGATGTGACTCCCTCAAGCTCAGGTGTGTCCATTGACAGTGATCTGAATATATATGACTTCCAAGCAGATGCTGACAAAATATAATTTGCTGTCTTATTGTCATCTGGCATTTTACACAGTTTGCATTTTACACACTATGCATAGAATACATAATAAAATTAAGTATTAGGTGGACACTGAGTCCAAGAAATTTGAACCACACCAAAAGTAGTTATGAGATAAAGCCAAAAGAGACTAACCATAGTTTTTAAAAAGTTCGATGGCCATGACTTATACATAGTATATAGTGACGGCTGCCGTGAAGCTGGGAACCAGTGCCCTTTGTGACATTTTAAAACAAAACTAGTCTTTTAGACCATTTCCATGAAAATGTTAGGTTTCCATTTGATCAGCAGGTGCTGTTGAGATGAAAGCCATGTGTAAATTTTCAGAAGGCTAAAAGTGTCAATTCAGAAAAGGAAAGTGATAAGAGAAAATGCAATCAGTTTTCCTGTTTTCAATTTGTGCAGGATTTGAAGAGCCGTTTTGTTGAACTGCTACATCTGCTCCAATATGAATATTGAACTACTTCCACTAAAAATAACAACCTATAATTTGGAAGCTACTGCAGCCTTTTGTTAATGTGAGTGGGTTATTTAAAAACAAAACAAAAAAAATAAAAATAAAAAAAAACAATTTTCTATTCTGACAGTCTCCTGCCTAATGTGCATTTACATTTGCATTGCATTTTCCTCAGCAGATAAATGGTGTGATGCAATTAGGGCCTCATCTCGTTTGGCTATGAAAAGAGGTTTCCATAGGTGAAAATCCTGGTAATATAAAAAGGCATTGCACAAAACAAAATTAATTTTTAAATAGTCTTTTAAAATATGCTTATTTAAAGTGAGGTATTATTCCTTACATTCTCTAATACTACAATTTTTAACTTACTGGCCACTACTGTGAGAAAGTTAACATGATTTCATTGCATACTGAGCAGTCTGTAATGTATTTCACCTTTAATACACCTTCAAATGTAAGTTTAAGCTAATCAGGGATATTTTACCGAACAGAGCTTTCAAATAATTTTTTTTCATGCTTAAATAAAATGATTAAATTATGCTTGAGTGCCTGCATACAAAGGCTTTGGCCTCTATAGTACTGCTAATCAAATAAGTTTTATGGACCACATTAGAGGAAAAATTAGATGCATTTTACTAGTGACATTTCTAGGAAAGACATGTTCTTTAACTAATTAAAAAGAAAACTCCAGATTGTATTTAAAATAATCATAATAAAAAGTCCTTCATCATTATAATGAGAGTGTGAGTGGTGACACTGTCTACAGGTAACAAAGGCACAGAAATGTAAGGGAGTAAGAAGATATGTGGATAGGTTAGATATTGATTCAATCATTGATTGCACTTGGCTTGACTTGTGGCTAAAGTCATTTGTCCTGGGTGAGACCTGATCAGTGTCCAGAATCAATTAGCTGTGTAGCTTGTGGCTTCACACTTGAGTTGCTGGATACATTCTTCACAGGTAAACTCAGACCAGCTCAAGTAGGGAGGAAGGGGAAGACAGATACTGATGATGACACATGAACATGTTGATTTACAAATGTAGTATTTCTTTTGAAACATTAGTTTGCAATAAGAAGTTGAAGAACAAAACTGGACACGTTATTGAATGAATGATTATGTGTCTGCAACTGGACAAAGAATACTGCTCTTAAGGAGTGTCATTTCCAACCTGAAACACAATGAACAGTCCAGTATTATGGTGTTCTGGCATGTCATTAAATAAGTTTGCTACCATATGGGTGTATTCTTTGATATATGTATTTTTCCACTTTCAAGGAAAGAGTCTGAGCCAAGCATGGTGACTTACACCCATAATCTCAGCACTTGGGAGGTGGAAGTAGAAGGATTAAGAGTTCAAAGTCATCCTTGGCTACATAGTAAGCTTGAGGCTAGCTTGAGCTACAGGAAACTATCTTACAACCCCTCTCTCCAGAGAGAGAGAGAGAGAGAAAGAGAGAGAGAGAGAGACAGAGACAGAAAGACAGACAGACAGACAGAGAAAGGAGAAGAAGGAGAAGGAGGAGGAAGAGGAGAAGGAGAAGAGGAAGAGGAAGAAGAAGGAGAAGGAGAAGAAGAAGCTAAATCACAAATCATTCAAAAAACTTGTTCACAACCACAGCCCCATCACTTAGGATGCTCTGTGCTGAAGCTGCAGTACTTTACATGCCCAGGAGAGAGGAGTTTCCTGGGTCTTCACAATTATGGTGTGATGTCCCAGCTCTTCTATTGGAACCACTGATAAAGTTCTTCCGGTGAAGTTTAAGGCATGGTGCTTTCTTGTTGGAAAAAGTTACAAACCACTCATAAAAGCCAGTAATATTTTCAGTGACAGATAGACAAGCTTAAAAATCCTCTTCTTTGAAGCTGGAGATGTAGCTCAATGAGTAGAGTGCTTGCTTAGCTACGCAATGCCCTACATTTATCCCTAGCACCGCATAGACTGGGTGTGGAATGCCTACTTTGTAGTTTCAATTTATGACATCTTTGTGTATTATAACTCATAGCTCATGAAGAAATGACACAGTTCTTTGTTTTTGTAGCTGTTGTACTGACCAAAGTCTCATGACAAATCAATATTAGGGTGAATGGAGAAGGCACTTAGAATATAGACACTGTGAAAGAAAAATACAAAGAACACAAATGTAAATTTTCCAGTGAGTTTTCACATCTAAACACTGTAAGTGCCTTGGGAAACATGATTGACTGGCCTCATTAGTCTTTTAATATCTGGGGCAAAGACAACTTCAGAGTGCGCTCTGGGATGCCAGGGACTGCCACACAGCTGTCTTGGGAGAAAGGTAAATAATCAATATATGATGGAGACTGACTTACTGGGATCTTGGTCCTAACTCTCACATACATTTTCATCATAGACTTGAAGTGAATGATTAGCTAACATCTCATTTTCTTCCTGTCAAAGAACTCCAACCCATGGCTCAGACTAGCCACAGCTCTGTCCTGGTTTTACTTTTGGCCAAAATTTTATTTACTTTAATTAATTAATTATTTTTTTTGAAAGCAAGGTTTTACTATGTATTCCTGGCTGTACTAGAACTCACTCTGTAGGCCAGGCTGGCCTTGAACTCACAGAGATCTGCCTGCCTCTGCCTCCCATGTGCTTAGATTAAAGGAATAGTCAACTATACTTAGCTTTAACCACAGTTTTTAAAACTAAGGTGTTCTTGTGTTTCCCAAACTGACCTACTTTGTGCTTGAGTTCTCATAATTAGGACTTATTCTCTGAATGCCTGTTTTGGTGATCTCCCCAGAAAACAGTTTTCTTTTACTTAATGCACCTTTCTGGCACACTGAGCAGGAAGCAACTGGTCCCTGCTAACATATCCCTGGATATTCCCTAATGTGTGTCAATGTGTCCATCTTTCTAAATCTCATGTCACTCATCTATCTGCCCCTATTAAGTGCATCCTGCACTGCGCCCTGTTTTGAGCTATCTAGCATCCTGGAACAGAATTTTACCCAGCTTCCCCAGGATTCCCCGCCCCAGTGGATCTCTGTATATATTGATCTTTTGTTCTGTCATCTTAAGATGCTTTTGTCTGACAGTTGAGAGGAATGGGGAGTTGCTTTTTGTTTTTTGATTTTTTTGTTTTGTTTTGTTTTTTTGATATGGTAGCTCTTTGTAGCTCAGGCTGATGTATAAGTAGCCTAAGCTGGCCTGCAGCTCAGTTCTTGCTGCCTTAAGATTTGGTCTATACCACACCCGGGTAGGAGAGAAAGATTTTGTAGTATCTTTTACCCTAGAAAAGTTTAGATTGTAACTGGTTGTGTGGCATATAGCACTCTATGTTATGAAAAGAAAGGCCTGGTATGGATATGTAGTGTCCTGAGACTTAAAGTGTGATGGTCTTTCAGTTCATTCACTGTCTTCCTTGGTAGCTTAAGATATATCCTGGTTTTCAGATGAATTCCTCAGAGGCAAGATGAGGGTGTCTCCTAGGTGAATGCCTGATAGACACCAGGAGTAGACTTAGGGGTTTTCTTACAAGCATTGTGTGTATTCAGCTGTTGACAATGGGTTGGGGGCACTGTTTGCCTTCACGTTAGTGGAGATGGGGAGCAGTCGAGTCTTACTAGCTCTCCACCCATCTGCATGAGGATGAAATGTACTGGGAAGAGGGAACCAGGCTTCCAGAGACATCCTGAAACTTAGGTGACTGTGTCAAGTATTAGTCATTACTCATCTTTTTCAGGGACAGTGATGGGAGAATGGATCTGTTTATGCAGTGAGGAGGGACTTCTGTTAAAGAGAAATAGGTTTTATGCTTTTCCTTCACAGTTGCTGGGAAAGACTGTGGCCTTGTGCCAGGCCATAGGAGAGAGGTAAAGGGAGTGGAAAGTGAATGTCATTTTTAGTGAACATTCACTATAGCCTATAGTCTCAAAGTCTGGAGTCACCTGAAAGATGTAAAAAATGACCTCTTTAAATAACTTTGTGGACAGGAACTGGTAACAACTTATTTAAATGAGGAGTATTGCCATGTGACTAAAATCAAGACTTAAAACAAACCTGAGAACTTGACCATATGCTTTGTCTGAAGAATTTAAAAATTTAGTTATTGCCATCAGCACTTTGTCTTGGTATTTGTTTTCTGTTAGTAAATCAGTAGAGATTAAAGTACAGACATTAGAAGTTTGTCTTAAGTTTCCAAATTTGTGAAATTACTACATAAAGCAGGGCTGGGTTTCTTTGACAAGTAGGAGTGATTGCATGTGTTTGGTTTGATCAAGATGAACACTTTATTGTCATCCAAGAAACTTGCTATTTGCTAAGGAGTTCTTTGGCTGGCAGGGCTTGAGCATAATGCTGTTTTCAATTTTCATTAGAAATGGAAGTCATGGGAATCACTCTTACTTCATAGGCCACAAAATAGTTTTTCACTGATGTTCAAAGTACAGTGTGAAACTAGGTGGAAATCCTTTGCCCCAAAGGAAAATGCCTTTAAAGTAAAGATTCAGTGAGTTCTTCATTAAAACTTGAGTGCGTTGGATTATATATTATCTAAGATACATTAGGTAATATATTCTCAAGAGATGTCATGGAAGATTGTAAAGAAGTTGAAGAGCTAGGGATCTTCTGATGACCTGAGAGGAAGCAGAGCCGTGTGGCCAGGTGACAGGGTAAAGGAGGCTGTTGTGAGGTGTTTTATACAGAGCATTTGGTAGGGCTCTCTTGCTGGACTTGTT